CGTTGTGGGCGCGGCATCGCGCAACGTGATGACGACATTTCGCAGCGCCGTCAGTCTGCCTTCACGGATCTTCAGCGGAAGGATCCATTTCCGGGCGGTGAGGCACCCAGTGGTCGGACTCGGCAAGGAATCTTTGAAATGTGAGTACCGGTAGATATTTTATGTCTGGGACTGAATTAATTAAAGGGGGCGGGGGGTGAATTAATTAAAGGGTGGTGATTAATTAAAGGGTGGGCTGGATTAATTAGAATTAAAGGGTGGGCTGGATTAATTAGAGAGGGGTGAATTAATTAAAGGGTGGGCTGGATTAATTAGAGGGGGTGAATTTAAAGGGTGGGCTGGATTAATTAAAGGGGTGGTGAATTAATTAAAGGGTGGGCTGGATTAATTAGAGGGGGGTGAATTAATTAAAGGGGTGGTGAATTAATTAAAGGGTGGGCTGGATTAATTTGAGGGGGTGAATTAATTAAAGGGGTGGTGAATTAATTAAAGGGTGGGTTGGATTAATTAGAGGGGGTGAATTAATTAAAGGGGGTGAATTAATTAAAGGGTGGACTGGATTAATTAGAGGGGGTGAATTAATTAAAGGGTGGGCTGGATTAATTAGAGGGGGTGGATTAATTAGAGGGGGGTGGATTTATTAAAGGGGGGGTGGATTAATTAAAGGGGGGGGTTCAATGTACATACCGGTACCGTAAATAAATAAGCCCTACCCTGAAAATAAGCCCTAGTGTGTTTTTTGTGACTAAAATTAATATAAGACCCGGTCTTATTTTCGGAGAAACACGGTATGTAACTTCCTTCTTTCTCTGGTGAGTAGCTTTAGAGTAGAAATTTATAGATTAGCATACTATGGAAAAAATAACAGCAAAATTGATTCGTGTAAGGTTTGACACGAAGCATTATCTTAAAAAAAAAATAAATAAATAAATTCCAATCTCCAAAATCACTATTGTGATTAAAGTCAGGGCTGCCATCAGAAATTTTGGGGCCCCAGACACATCTCAAGTTCTCAAGTCAGTCACAGTGCCACATCCAAGTCCTCCCACAGGGCCACACTCGAGTCCGTCCACGAGTCAACCCGCAAGGATGATGTGTGTGTATAGTGGATGTAGAATGTTTTAAGTGGGTGAGGTCTGTGTGTCATGAATGCAGTGTGTATAGTATAGTGGATGCAGATTGTACGTTTATGTAATGTATGTGGTGTTTGTGTGTATTAGATGCAGAGTGTGTATTTGTATTGTGAATGTAGAGCAAGCATGTCAAACTCAAAGGCTAGCATGGGCCACATAAACAAAATTTAAGTTTATGTGGGCCGCAAAAAAAAAAAAAACCTTACATTTTCATAGAAACATAGCTTCCCCCCTTCTTAACCCCAGTTTCCCCCTCTGTACTAAATCCCAATCCCCCCTCTGTACTAAATCCCTGTACCCCTTCTGTACTACATACAGTGATGTATCTATCGCAAGGCAAACAAGTAATTTGCCTTGGGCGGCACTTTGCAGGGGGTGGCAAAAAAAGCCGCCCCCAAACGCACAGACAGATCCCCTGTTTGCCTCGTGTCCTGGGGGGCTAAAGAGATGGCCACTTTTGAGCCCATACGAGGCAGGTGGAGGGCAGCGAGGGAGCATGCTCACCTGAGCTCTTCTTGCACAGCTCCCTTGCATGCCGCTTAATGAAACTGGGAGCCGGAGTATGACTTCACTCTGACTCCCAACATCACTAAGCGGCGTGTGAGGGAGCTGAGCAGGAAAATCAGAGCTCCCTCGCCGCTTACTCTGCCTGTCCGTCCCCTATCTGCCTGCGCAGCAGCCCCACTGGACCGCAGGTAAGTAATCCACTCCAGCTCTCCCAGGGAGGCTGGGTGGATTTAAATTAAAATAAAATAAAAAATATTAATTTGTAAGTGTTGGGGGAAATGTGTCTGTGAGTGAATGTGTGTGTGTGTGTGTATGTGTGTCTGTCTATCAGTGTGTCAAATCAGTAAGTGTGTGTGTATGTTTTTTGTCAGTGTATATGAGAGTGTGTGTCTGTCAATGAGTGTATGCATCTATCAGTGAGTGGTGCGTCTGTCAGTGAGTGAGCGTCTGTCAGTCAAAGTTCAGCCTTGACAGGAAGGGGTGGGGAAAATTTAAATTAGGGGCACTGTCCTGCCTAGGGCAGCACAAATCCAAAATACACCACTGACAATATCCTTGTCCCCCGTCTGTACTAAATCCTAGTCCCCCCTCTGTACTAATTCACAGTCCCCCCCTCTATACTAGATTTCAGTCCCCCCTCTATACTAAATCCCAGCAACCCCCTCTACTAAACCCTGTGATGCATGGGCGGTTGGGCTGTGTATGTGTGTGTGTGTGTGTGTGAGTGTATGTATTGTGATGTATGGGCATTGGGCAGTTGGGCTGTTGTTGGCTGTGAATGATGCACTTCCTTTCTTGTGGTTCTTTACTTCCTGTTCCTGTTGGCAGTTGGTGGAAAGTTCGAGGGATTTGAAATGGCTGCAGAAACCCTGTGTAACAAGGCTGCAATATGAAGATGCTGTTATATATGTATTAATAAAGTGAGTACTTCGTCATTGGCTGATTTGTACAAAACATCACAAACCCCAGCCCTTGTTAAAAAAACAAACAAACAATATTAGCCAACAAGCAGACTCTACTCACATTGCCTCTGGTATACTCCCAGTAGCGCCATCCGCATCCTGTGCCAAAAAGATCCTCCTGCTACTCCTTGAAAACCTGTGAAGGTGCAGCACGTTGACGTCACATGAGAATGTGATGTGGCGTTGCGTGCCTCCGTGCACCTCCTGGTCCTCCACTGTCCAACCACGGCCATCGCAACACTGACCAACACACACTTACAGACACACACACACACACTCACTCACAGACACACACACACACACTCACACACTGACAGACACGCACACACACACTCACTCACAGACACACACACACACACTGACAGACACACACACACACACTGAAAGACACACACACACTGACAGACACACACACATACACACACACACACTCACACACTGACACACACACACACACACTGACAGGACACACACACATACACACACACACACTCACACACTGACAGACACACACACACTTACAGACACACACACACACACTCACACACACACACACACACACACTACAGACACACACACACACACACTCACTCACACAGACACACACACACGCTACAGACACACACACACACACACTCACAGACACACACACACACTGACACACACACACACACACACACACACACACAGACACACACACACTCACACACACACACACTGACAGACACACACACACATTTACACATTAATTTACACATTCTTGCACACACTCATTTTATTTATTACTCCCTACCTTTGGGCGCTGATGTGGAGCCTCTCCCTGATCTTCACTCGGGAGCTAAGTCTTCCTGCTCCCTCACGTGCGCAGTTTAGTGATGCCGGAGTGATGTCATATTCCGGCACCCGGCATCACTACAGAGGGCGCTCGCGGAGAAGCAGTGAGGAGCAGGAAGACTGACCTCCCTCACTGCTGCCTGTGACCTCTCATCTCCGGCTGGGTAAATGTTAGCAGAGTAGGCACCTGCAATGTGGGGAGAACAGGTGCCTGCCCTGCTTTAGTAAGCATGGCAAACTTGCGGATCACCGGCCGCAAAAATATTCATTGTGGGCCGCGAGTTTGACATGCTTGATGTAGAGTGTGTGTTTGTGTAGTTGATGTAGTGTGTGTATAGTGACTGCAGAATGTGTGTTTGTGTAAGGAAGTAGTGTGTGTAGGGAATGCAGAATATGTGTTTGTGTAGGGATGTAATGTGTATGGTGACTGCAGTGTGTGTTTGTGTAAGAATGTAGTGTGTGTAGTTAATGCAGAGTGTGTGTTTGTGTAAGGATGTAGTGAATGCAGAGTGTGTGTGTGTGTAAATGTTAGCTTATAGTGTGTTTAAATGTTAGTGTATAGTGTGTGTAAATGTTATGGGGCTGCATACTCTGTGGGGGAAAAGCATTTGGTTTATTTTTTGTTCATGAATTGTTGAAAATTGTATTTGATTCCCCCCTCCCGCCCTGCGTCTTACCTTTGTCCAGGGAGGGGGGAGATCACATTCCATGGTGGTCCGGTGGCATGGTGGCTCCAGGCTACCTGTTGAATGCAGGGGGCCCAGCACACTTGGTCTTCACTTTCCAAATGCTCTGCTCTGTCGCTCTGACGGCTGCGCGAGAGTTAGACAGAGCAGAGCATCTGGAAAATGAAGACCGAGTGTGCTGGGCCCCTTGCAGTGAAAAGGTAGCCGGGGGGGGCCACAGGTGCACATATATATATATATATATATATATATATAGCGATTATCGCCATATATATATGTACGTAGGATATGTGGAGTCTGGGCCCCCCAGGACCGCCTGGCCCGTGACAGTTGTCATGCCCTGATGGTGGCCCTGATTATAGTTCCTGGTGATGGTGACTACTGTCACAATGTATCTTTGTAATATATGTTTGTATTCATTTTATATGAGGCAATTCACGTTAAGATGCGATTTTATTAAGACACGGAGGCTCCTATTATGCTGCACTCTTTCTTTATTTCCCTCAGCAGCAAAGAAAAAACTTTTTATAAACATAACCAATAATAACATTAACAGTCTCAGGTGTATTCTTCCCAGTAACAGGAACAGCCAATCAGGTTCCACTTCTCCAGCATAATAGGCTCTGTCAACCAATCCTGTTCCTCTTTCTTTGCTGCTCCCTCAGTTAAGTACATCTGATCCCTCAGGCCCCTTAACTGTGGGATTATTTTTATTATTCTCTTTGATGACTTTAATTAATTTTATTAACTTTTATTAATTGAGTAATTGGCTAATGTATTGCTATATTGCTGATTCCTTTATTGCTATTTTATATTGTGATGGTTTTGTTCTGTTATACCCTCTCTACTAAAGGCTTGTTCTTTGCCTTTAACGTTACCCGCTCCAGTCGGTCCCCCCAGAACCTAATTTGCAAGTGGGTTTGGGTTCGGCTTGAGCCGCATTGCGCCCTTTTTTATTCATTTGCGCCGTGAACGGCCGCCACCCACAGAGCTCACAGAGCTCAGATACCGGCGCAGGGAGTTCATCTTCTGGGTTCTCCTCACTACCGCTCGTGGCGGCCATTTTCTTGCCTTCCCGCGCTCTGCACGCAGCTCCACCCCCAACGACTGGACCTCGGAGTTAGGTTAAAGCTGCAGTGGCGGTTGGACGGCTCCTTGCTCCCTCCTTTAACTTTCCTTCTTACTATATCCATTATTGCTGTGTTTTGTTTCTGTGAGTACATTGTTTGCTGTCCTTAAAGTTATATTGCCCCTTTTCTCCTCTGGGTTAATCAACCCATTTTAGGTCAGCTTAATACACTTGTTAGTGGTGCCAGTGTCATACACCCCAACATGCCTGGTGACAAAGATATACCCACTCCTTCTGGGTCTCTTATCACCAATTTAGGGAGTGTTAAAACACCCACAGGGGTATCTGAGATTGGAGCGGCTACCCCCGCTGATTTTGATCCCACTGCTGATATGCAGTTTCTGATTGACAACACTATGTCTCATGTTATAACTAAGGCCCTCACATCAGCCATGGGACTGATGTCTGAATCTATCTCGCAGACTCTTACACATGCTCTGCTTGGGGCACAGAAATCGGCTCAGCCGACCATTACCCAGGCTTTGCCTGTAGTAACCCCATCGCAACCTCACACTGGCCGCAAGGCCACTGCAAAAACCAAACACTCTTCAATCTCACAGATGGACAGCTACACACCTGTCAGGTTCAGGAAATGGTTATGTTTGAAATCATATTCTTTATAAAATAGTTTTTGTTATTTTTTGACATTTTGCTGCTGAATGACTTTTAGGGAATAAACATGTTTTAACATGTACAGAGCATTATGGCTACAGGCTCATTTTCGTATGTTCTCTAACTATAGGTTCAGTTCACTCCTCACACTTGATACACAACTCAAGATTAATGGTGGCAGTAAGGGAGACGTGAAGAAATAGCAAATAATAGGTATTTAAAAGTTTTCTCTAAGTACCATCACAACTTTGCATTATTGCAAATATATTGGACACAGAGCACTCGTTAGCTATTCTGCTTTCTACAAGTTTCTTAGACTGGCAGTGATAGTTTAAAGGGATCTTTTAGTGCCAGGAAAACAAAGCCGTTTTCCTGGCACTATAGGGTTATTAGTTATCTCCCCCTCCCTCGGGGCCCCCCTCCCGCTGAATCCAGCGCTGATGTCCCATGGTGCTGGGTCAGGCTCCGCCCATGCTCCTCCCCTGTCGGTGTCAATGCTTTCCTATGCTGAAAATCTGACGCTGGACATCCATTAGTATGTCCATTGTGAGAGAACAGACCAAAAATCAGTTTGTATTCCGGAAACCCTTTAATGGCTGTCTGTTAGACAGCCACAGTGGGCAGACTTAGAGCTGCAATGTAAACATTGCAGTTCTCTGGAACTGCAATGTTTTACATTGCAGCAGTAAGTGCAATAGGGAGACAACACCCAGACTACTTCAATTAGCCAAAGTGGTCTGGGTGCCTACAGTGTCCCTTTAAGGCTAGAGGAGAAAAAAAAAAACTTTAAAACATTTATATATCGTATGCCAGAACAAGGTCTGAATTGTGGGGAGGAAAGAGGCTAAAAATTACTGAGACAACAATATGTAAAATTGAAGGAAAATAAGGGAGAACTACACGCAGACTGACATACGAGACCAACTCACACTACGTGAATAGACATAAATTAATTGTAATAAGTGATATGCCTATATTAAACAACTGTAACAAAAAAGCTTCAAAACATAGGCACTGAATATGGAGTCTAACAATGCTCACACTGCCTTAAATCTTAACTAATAATTAATAATCAGGCAAAATTAACACATATTAAATTAGGCGGTATATTAACAAAATGTTTAACCATGTTTAGCCACAACATTTCACAATCTTTCCCGTCATACACTTTGGGAGTGTGAGCGAAGATACCCAGGTAAATGTTTCAATTGGTATTGTGCATCAGGGAGTCACAAGAGTTATCAATCCTAAGTCTTTGAACACAATTTAGCTCTAAATATAATCTTGTGGAAAGATTTGAAAAGTTGACGCTGTTATGGCTGCAATGGGGGGCCCAATTACATATTAATGTCTGTATATTTAGAATGCAATGTCATAACAGTCCCTGTTGGTCAGGTAATGGTAATATTCCTTGTTATCAGCAAATTCTACCTTGTAGAAAGGCATGATTTGAAGTTTCAAAATATCTTCTGCCATGTCTCCACTGTCTGACATTTGTGTGTTATTTTAACTGGATTACTCTACTTTAAGTTTTCTATAAGTGTGCCTACATTATGTGCCACATTGTCTTGGCCTCTCTACAGCTAAGTTCACTGTCAGCTTCTTTTAGCATGCTGCGATAGTAGCTTCATTAATGAAACTACTTGTAACCACGTTGATATCAGAGATGATGAGTGATTTTGACAAATTTTTAAACATAGATTCTTTCCATTTTAATGTATTACCTAGATCAGGGCTTAAAATTCAAAGTCCTAAGCTTGGAGGATCAATGTGGCATACTCACCAAGACTGAATGTCTACATGCTAGGGTTAAAGGTTTACTTACCAATGGCTAGGGGGCAAGTGGACAGTTTGAGCTTTGATCAAGGTAATGTATGCAACAAAAATTTGACTTAGACAACTTTCCTGCTGATCCTGCTAATACAATACAAACCCCAAACCAGGAAGAGCCATGCATTTTGATCTATAGTGTTTTCTTCTTAAACAACTAAACAACTGTACATGTAGTTTAGCCCCCAGCTATAGTTCCAGTAAACACATTTGTAGTGAATATCACTTTTCATACAGTGGCTGTTAGTTTATTCAGTTAGTTTATTCACATCGCTGTGTGCAGCGATATCTCAAGTCGCCAACCTCAAATGCATGTTCACAGCTTGGATGTGCAATAGAGCCTCTGGGTGGAAATGTGAGCGATTTGTACGGAGTGCGCCTACAAGTTGGGAAATAAGATGAATCCTGGATAGCAGAGGAGGAATTGAATGGCTTGTTCTATGTATGCGAAGGTGTGTTTGGGGAGGTGTCCGTTAATTCCACTTGGCATCGCTTTGAGTGCACGTGCCTGTGTTATGTTTTTTTTTTTTCTTGATGACTGTGTGCATTGCTGTGTGTGTCTAGATTACAATACGTGCTCTTTTTGTTATCGTTCAATACTGCATGTACAGTTGTGCTTTGAAGTAATAGCTTTTTTTGAGCAAATACAAAGCCCTGATACTCACGCACACAACTGTGCTCACGTATACCTGCAAACTGTATTCATGACTAAGGGACCTGCTTCCGTACAGTAGCAGCCTAACCATGCAGTCCTGCTGCAAAAATCTTCCGAGGCATTGACTCACATCTACATTGGGTTATGTAATCATGACATTTTGATGTTTATTTTTATATTTAAATTAACATTCACTTTAATATGCAAATACAAATGGTCTACTATTGCTGGGCAGTTACTGATAGTCATTCTTAGAGATGGGGATATCAAACATTTTTTAAATTTGCTGTGCATTTGCATTTAAGGCTACTGATATACCATATATAAAAGTGTGCTGCATTTTTTGTTTTAAAGTCTAGACACATGTAACAAGCACATAGTTAGTGACAGGCTCAGTTTAATTCCACCCTTTCAACTTTGCTCTGTAACAAAACTATTGTTGACACCAAATGCCTAACACCCATCTCTCTAGAACCACATATATCCTCAGTTAAAATGCATTATTTACCAGGTTTGCAGAATGTTTTTGTTATAATTGCTCTTACTGGAAATACTTGTAATTTAAGTGCCAACAGCCTTTTTGTATGTTTATGCATCATCCTCAAATGGAGATTAAAATTCTTGAAGTGGCTCAGCCTTTAGAAATTGTGTATGTACTATTATACTGCATTTAAAACTGTCTATGACGGGTGTTAATCATTTTTCAATGTAAACAGCAGTTTTTTTTTTTATTGAACGAAAGATTTTAAATTTGGCAGGTCATAACATGTGATGACAGGTTTGCATTAATATCAGCACTGTGTATGTTGTGTACCGCATGCAAATATGAACAGTATTAAAGCTACACATGATCTAGAGGTTCTGGACAAAATTAATCTTTAGATCAGCATTTCATTTGATTCCAATATGTTGTAGTAACACATGGTGTAATACAATAAAATCTATTGTTTTATTCGGCAGACTGGAGGCAATATAAAAATCCTTAGATGACCGCATGTGGACTTACTTTGCTTTGACAGCACTGGTTTATAAGATAGATTACTTATCTCAAGTATTTTCACATCCTATAAGGCTAGTACATTGAATTCATTGTGTGCTGTTTCCTTAGCGTGCAGACAAACAAAAGGTCTACACTTATTTTTTTCCTCTTTGTAAGCATTTTAATGTAAAAATAGTTATTGGTAATTCTACAACCTGTTTAAGAAATGTAAGCATCTGTTCTTGTAGGATGTTATATTTAATATTCAACACACTGAAGCTGAAGATGGCTAGTAGCATGAATATGTGATATTTAATGATATATTATATTGCCGGCCTCTTGATCTGAAAATATTGTTTTCCCATCATGCACCTGTTTGCTTCTTAATGTGCTTCTATTTTTTGACATTTTCTTGCATGCATTTTGCATCTGATCAGAAAATAGGAGGGTTTGTTTGGTTAGTGCCCCAAAATGCCTAATGTGACAAGAGCTTCAGAGTTGTTGCGTTAAAAACAAAAAATATATGAAAAACTGCCCAACTTGTTTAAAAAATATTTAATTATATCATATTACTTGGAGGCACCTGACAATTAAAGGGACACTATAGTCACCAGAACAACTACAGCTTATTGAATTTGTTCTGGTGAGTATAATAATTCCCTTCAGGTTTTGTGCTGTAAACACTGTCTTTTCAGAGAAAATGCAGTGTTTACATTACAGCCTAGTGATAACTTCACTGGCCACTCCTCAGAGGGCTGTTAGAGATCCTTCCTGGGTCATGGCTGCCTAAAATGCATCCTAACATTCAGTGTCTCCTCCCTTTGCATGCAGACACTGAACTTTGCTCATAGAGATTCATTGATTCAATTCATCTCTATGAGGAGATGCTGATTGGCCAGGGCTGTGTTTGAATTGTGCTGGCTCTGCCCCTAATCTGCATCCTTCTCAGTCTCAGCCAATTCAATGGGGAAGCATTGTGATTGGATCAGGCCATCACTTCTGATGATGTCAGAGGTCATAGGAAGTTCACAGGCAGAGGCAGCAGCTTCAGACTTGAATACAAGTAAGATTTTACTATCTTTAGGGAGGCAAAGTGGGCCAAGGGGGCTAGATAATAGTTTTAACTCTATAGGGTCAGGAATACGTTTGTGTTCCTGACCCTATAGTGCTCCTTTAATGCAATGTGGGTAAAGTATGAAATAACACGCCTTAAATTCTGTGAAGTTTTATCATTATTATTATAGTGTTATATAATTTGATGAATTAATGTATAACAAAAACTTAATGACTGAACTATGTCTGGCGCTGGCCACCGCTAGACTCCCGGGTACAATGTCTACTGGAAATAGTTTAACTACTTACTCCATTGTCTTTCTGCAGTTACAGTTAGCACGACATTCCATGACCTATGTGCATAAATCGCAGGTTGGGACATCACCAATATCTAAAGCCAACACAATATCTTTAAAATTCATACATTGGAGTGGAAGTGAACTTAAGGTTCATA